ACGAATATTCATCTTGGAGCATCCCCACACCTAGGTCTCAATGTTAGCGCATGTATGACTCACACATCCGAGGTGTAAATGCACACGCGTAAACCCCACACACGACACAACGACCCCAACGAGGTTGAGCTCTGAAGTAAACGGTTGTGTCCACGTTCTCTCCGATCTTTTTCTTCACCGCGGGTATCAGGGAAGCGTAATCGGGCCAGGGTTAATTCCGTGGCCCCGGTGTGGTTCAAGACCACATCCTAGGGCCCACAACAAGCCAATTGGTTGATTAGAAATAAGCGCTGGATTTGAATACTTCAAAGCAAAATGTGTGCGCGGAAGATGGTACCACAGATGACCACCTTTGTGTGACCTGAAGGTAGCACCATGACCAACAAGTGTGTTTTATTTACATCAGCTGAGATGACTGGCAGGTACCGTCACAAAACTGGCGACTGTGAGTGAGCGCGCACGGGACTGGTTTGTGCATTTAAACAAATCCGAAATCGTCGAATCGCTTGTTAGCCGGTGTGAATTGTTTGTTAAATCATGGTGGCTAGTAATTGAACACGACTAATCAATATTTCTGACCACTCTCTGAAACGCAGTGCATTTGTGTCACTTTTATAACGGATGAACATTTTTGTGGACGTGTTGATCGTTGACTAGACAAACACCGTGAAAGCAATCTTAGTTCGAGTTTGATAAACCAGCACAGTTGAATACCGATAAAATACGACTATCCGCTTACCAGGAATACCACGAAGAGGGTTTGTGTAGATGTTGCCAGCGAACGGCTCATTTATCAATTCGTATCCCAGCACATTGGATTTATCTTTAAAACGTCGAGCAATTTCGACCCAGAAGTCGCCCCAATGCTTCCAGGCATTTGTGTGGTTATCGTAGATGCACTGGAAGGCTTTTTGACACGCAAAAGTCACGTAGCCCTCCCAGTCTCCACTCGGCATCGATCGTTTAGGCCAGGGGTACTTAAGGAACCCCCTGGGTCGCGGAAACGACTCGAGGAGCCACAGCGGAATGGCGTCGTAGGAGCCGTACATCGACGACAGCGAGTCCTGATGCATATCAAGAATCACGTAGATTCCAGCCTCCGCGAACTTATCCACTTGGTCCTCGATCGCCTTCAAGTAGGTGTCATTCACCTTGCCGGGGCCCGTGGGGAATGCCGGGTGCCAGAGAGCCCCCAGTCTAACCACATTAAACCCCCATTGGCGGAAGAACTTGAGCCTATTAGCATTCACGTCGGCAGCATTGTAGTAGGGTCGTTTCTTGTAGACTGAGTTGAAGCCATGAAAGAGCTTAATGCGTCCACTGGGATCGACGAAGTCGCCATCGGCGTTTAGTCTTACCTCGGGCAAGCTGTCGCCTCGTGCAACGACAAACAACACACAAACCACGCACAAAACCGTCCTCGCCAGCATGTGTACAGCGGAGTGAATGTGTGAAGCAGACTGTTTACGACGCGGGCCGACTCACCCAACCAGCTATATACATTCCGAGGTGCGCGCGTGCATTTCACAAATGTGTCTTATTAGTGCTACCGTGCAGCTGACGAGCGCAGTGGTTGGTTAGTGTAAATTGACAGCAATCCTGTAGTGTAATCGAATTGGTTATGAGGTCGAATCATATAGCTTCCCACTTAGTAACGCTTGTGTCGATTGTTTACACAATTATTACATGATTTCCTTGTATCATGAAAGTGTTTTTTAGCAGACTACTGACTTTCGTAACTATACTTGGGGGTTTGTTTGGTGTTTGGTTTTGCTAAAATGAAAAAACCCGAAACCCTAAAACAACATTTCGAGGCACCAATAAGATTTCTTTACCTTGAACCATTTGCTGTAAGGGCCAATCGATACTTTCAAACGTGATCTTGGATTAATTGGATGCAGCAATTCAGATTCTGCTTGTTTATTTACAAACCATGAACAAAATGTGACTTGGAAATACCATTTTTTAACAAACAACAGTGGACTTGTTGCCTGGACATCCAGAATTTTAATGAATCTATAAAAATACAGCTCAACTATCATGCAAAGTTCGTCCATATGGGGATTTAAACAAAACTTGGCATGCTCTTGTGTTCCACGTTTTGTTTCCCAAACTAAGCCTTTTTGATTTCCGGCTTCTGGTGCTGGGAGAATTTGATTGTTCTGTCAGATAAACTCGTAGGCTTGGTGAATTTCCTGTTTAAAACCGGAAGCCCTACTGTTTCATTTAAACAAGAAAGTTGGTGATTTCCCATTGGTTAATGCTTGGATGGAAATCTGCTGAGTAAGTGTTTTCATCGGGTTCCTGCATTCGGTGTCCGAAAGGCTTTGTTTTTTCAAGAATTTGTGAATAATGTCCTTTTCATTTTCATCGGTGCATATGCGCGTCCCTTTTCTGAATTCAAATTGGCCGTCCGCTTTTTATTGGTCAGTTCATATCTGAGTATCATTCAAGGCCATTTACGACGCACACCGATGTAACCGGCCTTCGATTGATGCCATAATGACCATACTGTATGAGATCTTGTCCTAGTTACTGGAGGCGCTGACTTAATTAATTCAAAATAAACAATGCATCATGCCTAACTTGTCAGTGAAAAGTGCAATCAGCATTAAGTGTGCCGATACTGGTATGAATTAGTGCCTCTTATCGCTAAATTCAAACACAAGACGTACAAGGTTATGGAGCCCTTGTTTATGTTTATAAACATCGAAATCCGCGCCCCGTTACGGGGGAAATTTAAACAACTTTCTACCCATTGTTAAAACCTGTCAAATTCAAACCGATTGGTCGCTGAAATGTGATTGGTCGAAGGCAAAACTAACGCGGAAACTGAATTGCATTGTAAAGGAGAGTCACTTTTCAGGAAGCTGGGATGGAGTTGCGCGTTTGGTGTTTAGTTGTGGCGATGACTTTAAAATTTACTGAAGGTTTGACTCTCTCCACTTTGGCAAACATTTTCCACAATTTCACAGGTACCACCGAAGATGACACGGCGCTCACCATGGAAATCGCCATCGAAACGCCACAAGGTCCTCGAACGGAGGAGGTCGCGGCCTTAGCAACCGACCTGGGCGACTGCCAATCAGGTGAGGCGTGTCAAAATGGCGGGCAATGCAGACCTTCAACGACTCAAGAAGACGGGAAGATTGCCAAGGCGGTCTGCGTCTGCCCGCTAGGCTATTCTGGTTCACGGTGCACTGAGAGTAAGTAAACGTGATTTTATCCCAATTTCAAATTCCGGTCAGCCAATCAAAATGACTTGTCGAAGAAATCTACATCTATTTTAACTGAAGGCATTGATTTTAATGAACTCTGAAAATTTAATTACACGGTTCCTTGTTTGATCCCAACCCACTTCGTACTAATTCTGAAGTCGTTTACTTGTCTGGCAACGAGTCAGCAGTGGATGAATTTTATCGATTTTCTGACAATTCGTCATCGATCGATAAATTCATTATGGCAAGCCGCATTGTGTGGTGGGAGTAGTTGTAAATTAAAGCTCCTATCTGGAATTTTTGCGCAAATCTTGACAATTCTGTTAATAATCCGAAATTTTGCTAGAAAAAATGGTTTTTTCAACAGACAATTTTTACTGAATCTAGAGGAAACTCAGCCGAGGTTTCCAGAGCTGCTAGATGGTGGCTACATCGCTTTCGGAGGTTACCTGTTGCCTGATTTTGGACCTCTGTCCATGCGCCTTCAAATTAAACCCAAACTCCTGCGACCGCGGACACTACTCCTGTTCCACGTTGCAACAGCTCGTGGGTTGGCATTCCACTTGGAGGTTAACGATGGAAACTTCAAATTCAGGTGACATAAAATCGATTTTTTTCGGCACTTAAAATCACAATACTTTAGTGGTTGGAATCCAAACAATGCATATTTTAGAGGACCTAAGTCAAATTGGCAGCGAATAAAAATAACATGTTACTGAAATTTTTAATCAGTAGGTAGGACAAACTTTTGATGCTACTGAATAAGTTTAGTGAAATTACATAAAATTACACCTGAATTTTTGTGGCAAATATTTCATTAGTTGACTTCTTTGATGAAATCTAGAGGTATATGGGAAAAAGTATATGACAAATTCCAATTGGTTCCAATCAATTACAGGGTTTACAACCAGTCAAAAAGTGGTCACTTCCACCTCTCACAGTATCTCGAGAGTCCAGTTAAATTCGAAGAAATTCGAGGTCGATTCACTGACATTGAAGTGGGTCTCCGATTGGGTGATCAGGCGTACCTTTTGGTCGACGATCGCGAGGCTAAGAGGCATCTGGTAAGTGCATCTATATCGATTCGTTTCATTGGTTAAACGCCAACCAATAGAAAGCACTCTCCTTCACTCGCATTTTTGAACACAAATGATTGATTAGTATCGATTGAACCCTTTTGTTGTTTACATTAAGGACGTAATTCCTGAACTGTTTGAAGGTTTCGGCATTGACACTGTCGAGGTGCCATCAATCTCAAAGCAGCCAATCTACATTGGAGGTCACCCATCACTCCTTCTTCGCAATCAGTTCCCATTGGTTGAGGGTGCAGCAAACAATCTAATTGGTTGTCTGGGTGATATCCACTTTAACGGAGAACTAGTTGACCCTCGTAGGGGTGCGTTTGTGGGCGACGCTATTGACGGCTACGGAATCGGTAAGACTTGAAATCACACAATTCTGTTTAGTAAAGGGATCAAAATATCGATTTTTCCTCATTTTAAGTCGACTGTGCAAGGAAAGTGTGCGAAAACAATTTGTGTGAGAATCACGCCACGTGCAAACCAGTTTCGCCAACGAATTATGTCTGTTTATGTCCACTTGGAACTCAACCGCCATGGTGTCAGCAAGGTAAGTGTCGGAGCACGGTGGTTTAAAAATAGCGCGCTTTTCGCACACTGATTTAAACAACATGCAAGCTCAGATTATAATATTGCATATAGCCTTGATGCCAGTGATTCCAGAATTTGTTGGCAACTCCTACATCGGTTTGCGAGGATTTGCTGATACCTCGTGGACTGATACACTTCTGGAAGTTATCTTTTACGCCAAAAATCCAACAGGACTGCTGATCTATTCGGGATTCTCGTTCGACAGACGTGGTGACTTTATTTGTGTAGCTCTCGTTGATGGCTTCATCGCGGTCAGCTTTGATCTCGGAACAGGTCCGTCGTTTCAAAAGTAAATAGAATTTTGAGATTCTTTTGGCTCAATACAAGCCTAGTTGCAACCGTTTTAAAAAACGTCTACTGAAACATATAAGTAGACGAGTATTTGTATCTTTTAGAAGTTCTCAAAATATCAGCATGGCCACCTGGCATCACCTCCAGGTTAAACGGATCGGTCGCAGTTTTAACGTCCTCATCGACGATGAAGCTGTTTCCAAGCCAACAGAAAGCTTCACCCACGGAAACTTTGTCCAATTAACAATTACGGATAACCTCTTGATTGGAGGTCACCCAGAACCCGATCACGTGTCTGCCCTGTTACCAGATCGGCGCAAGATTGTTTCCTACAAAGGAACTCGCCATTTCATTGGCTGCATCCAATCCGTATGTGACGATTTCTGTTGCATTTGCTCTCACCTGATTGGTCTATCGTCTGAAATTTTCATTCAATTATTTGCGCTGTGTGTGTAGGTATTGATTAATGGTCAGCGCCTGGATCCAATCAGAGACGCCGTATCGGCAGCGAATGTTGCGAACTGTTATAGTCACGAGTGCTCACAGCCAATCACGCCATGCGGATTGAATGGTGAATGCATTAGCCAGGGGATGTCGTGGAATTGCCAATGCAAATCGGGCTTCGGAGGAAATCAATGTCAGAAGAGTAATTTGTGCTCCATTTTATGTTAAAAACAAATTTTAGACCTCTCCAAAAGCGTAATCACGGAAATGTCATTCAACAGGAACAGTTTTCTGAGTTTTGAAATGACGGCCATTCAGCGAGGGTAACAAATAATTTTAAAATGGCTCCTCTACTTTTATTACATAAGTGACTTAATTTTTTACGCATTTAGCCCATCAAGTCGTGCGTTCGCGGTCTCTGCCAGAATAAAAAAGTCAGTGGTAGAAGAGCCAAACGAAATTTTTCTTACCCTGGTCTCCAAATTTGGCGGACGCGTAAGATACACTTTCGTGGAAGTTGTGGGAACCAATCTCGCAATCCTATTGGACACTTGGAATCTTCCAAATGATTGGCCACTTGCTCAACCAATCAGCTCCACCCGTTTGAATCACCAAACTTCTCTCTCCACAGATCGACTGATGGTATCAAAATGGCACGTAGTCACACTCTCCAGGTAAATCATTCAATGTCACAATTTCTTCGCTAGGCAAAATAATCATTTGGTCGTCCAAATTGACGGTAAATTGGCAATGCGTTTGGATTTACAGAGAAGCGAAAACCACGAGGTAAATTACACGCAGCTAATCATAGGTAAGTGAGTGTCTGGTGTTTAAACGGGTGCATTTTAGGTGGCTGTACGCAATCGATAAGGGATAGACTGGCGTTCCTGAGAGAATTTCAAGGTCACACGAAATCGACCGGTTTTCGTGGATGCATTGGAGATATCCGAGTTAACGAACTTCCTCTCCACTTTACAAATGCCACGCACTCACAAAACATTGACGAATGTGTGGATTCCGAGCTATAATACACTAAAACCAGACTCGAAATCAACTCGTGTATTTTGAATTACTTAAAATACCAATTAATTTGGGAAAATTTCTACTCTCCATGGTAGTTCCACTTTATCTCGTTATTGATTTCTAGGAAAATGCAACAATCCAATTTCGAGTAAATGGTACATAACCAATTTAATTCCGTTTGGACTCTTTAGAAGAAGCGCCATGACTTGTCAAAAGGCCATTGGTCGAATTAAAAGCCAATCAGAAATCCGTGAACGAAAATGCTGCAAATCAATAAAGCCTCATGGTGCATAACCACGCGAAATTACGAATTTAGGTTAAAAACTGGATCGCCAACTAAACTAAATCTACTGCCGTACAGAACTAGTTTTCGCTCAAATCATGTGTTGTTTAAATACATCAATGACTAATGCATTTCATAGGCAACTCTCTCAACCACTGATTTATTAGTTAGTTGCGTTTGCGATAAAGTAACCAATCACAGATGGTTTCTGTGTTTAGATGTGACCTTAGAAACCAAGCAAACAAACATAATACATAGTTAAAAAATGCTGAAAATTGGGTTGATCATCAACATTTGCGTTGTAATCCATCGATAAATGGGTTTTTAAATGAAGGATATGGAAGAATTAAAAACAGTCCAATATTTCAGTATTTCAACGACTTATTGGAAAATATGTAACAAAATCACTAAATCCTCGATTTTTTATTCAAGTAATTTGAACGATTAAAAGCCCTCTTTATGAAAGATTGGTGTGGAATAACTTGCGCTGTCCTTCCGTAACGCAGAAGTCATTGGTTGTCAATTGGGGTAATGACTCTATTTTGAAATGAACGCACTCAAACAGGGCCAATTACAGTCAGACTAGCTACACACTCTCAGGCAAGCAAGCTTATGAAGGATGACGAGAAGACGTGATTTGAGGGGCCTAAAATGACGCAGGAAAGAGAGAGAGAGAGCCAGTTAGCGGCAGCAGCCACCACCACCGACTGGACCACCACCGCCGCCACCGGCGCAGCACATCTGCGGTCCGCAAGCAGTCGCGCACGGAGAGTTATTTGGAGCGCATGGCACGTTGCACGGTGTGCAAGTCTCGTAGCAACGCGTGCATTCGTAGTACTCTGGTCTTAAGACGGTATAGCGCGTCTTGCAGCAGGTTGTAGCTCTACAAGTACAAAAAGTGTGTTTTGTGGATGCTAATCTTCCTAATTGGCACGTTTATTCGCGTGTTCAGCTGACTTTTGCTCGCACCGGCGAAAAATCGATATTCTAAATTAATGGATGCTAATCTTCCTGATTGGCACGTTTATTCGCGTGTTCAGCTGACTTTTGCTCGCACCGGCCACAAATCGATATTCTGACTTAAGTGTTGTGGCCTTGGCGATTATACAAACTAGCCAATAGCGTTTAAGCAATGGGAAAACGCCATGTTAGGCACAGATTATGCCTGCTGTCATGATGATTAGATTGAGAAAAACTCGGAACGTACTTGACGGGGTAGACGACGTTTGGGTCGGCGCCGAGACGAGTGCATTGTCCGGTGCTGCACATCTTTCGCAAGCTCAAATCAACTGTGTTCGACTGGAGTCGATGATTGCCTTTAAATACGCGCCGGTGATTTCGCATTTCTAAGGCCATTTTGCGCGACTGCACAAAGTCTGCGAAAAAAACTTCCACGATAATGCGCGGTTTCGTGTGTGCTTTTGCGCGTGAATTTCTTGTGATAAAGCCCGGTTAATTGCCAAATTGGGTAGAAATATTGAAGATAAAAATTCAATCATTAACGAAACATTTATCGATCGGTGGGACTCCTTAATAATGAAACCTAGGTTCAGTAAAAAATTTTTTATTTTAAATAAAAAAGGTTTCTAATTGTGAAAATTGTACCAGATGACAAGAATGGGAAAACTGCTTTGCGTTTGACGATGGCTATTCAATGAAGTTAAAAGAAGAACCGATATCAGATAACGTATCAATAACCTCCTTATCTATCGATCAATATTTTTCAGAACTGTTATTTACACACCCCCTTCAATGCTGACAAATTGTACTAAGGATATTGATCACACAATTCCTCGAATTTGCATTACCAAGCGCCACTTCCAAAAGCCATGGAATTTCACTTACTGAACATGCTTGAAGTTGATTGGATAACTTGTGCTCTTGCAATATCGATCGCAAAGTCAGACTACTGCGTATTACTAGTGAGTATTGATTGGTCATATGACGCCAACTCATCATCGCACCCATTTTCTCCTTTCTGCTGGTGTGTGCTTACTGACTCATGTGCTCACAACCACAGTAGTGAATGGAAAATATTTAAGTTATTCTTTTAAACTATGTAGCGTATACTTTTAAGAAATCTGATTGTCTATATGCGCACATTTAAGCGAACGAATTAATGGATTGACGTTTAACCTTCTCTAAGATACTACCGTCTGCGTGACAACGTCCAACTGAAGGTCGTGGTTTATTAAAAATTACGAAGCCAACAAGATCGTCAGACAACAATTGGATCCTCGTACAACTAACAACATAGGTTTTCAAGAAATCAGTGACCATACTAAGTCCCATTCGGCAAATTTTAAACGCTGAAATCTCTAATTCTAAAATTTCACACGCAAAACAGAAGGGTTTCAGAAAAGGAGTAAATTTGGGTGTTTTTCAAGTGCAAAGTATTTAACAGCACCGTCGTATAATGCCATAATCACGAATAAATGATTGTGTACATCTTTCATTGTCGTCATTCCACTTTTATCGCACTGTTTCTTGGTTAGATTGACGTCAATGAACAAAGGGCCTGCAGTTACAATTCTGAGGGCAAATTTTTTTAGATTTTATTGGTTTTAAGCTCGTGATTAATACCCTTCTTTCAATCAATAAATTCAATCGATCTTTGAAACGCACTGCTACAGTCAACCAATCAAACTGTAGTCAGAGAACAACGCAACCAATCATCTTGTACCGCCTAGTTTTAAAAATCTACAACATATTCTACCTATATTTTTTTAAGTTGGTTCAAAAACTCGATGTAATCTGACAAGAATTGTGCGCCAATAGAAATCGGAGCTAAAGACCAATCCCAGACTTGCATACTTTGGACAGAACAATCATAAGTGTCCTAAAAACTGCGTCACTTCGCACGAAAGTGTGTGCGTGAGTACGCGCGTGCTACCACCACGCAATTGGTTCTGCGCAAATCGAGGTCAATAACTGCGTCGCATCGGTGGTAGGAGTATAAAAAGGCCCAAATTCTTGCGACTTGAGGCTCAAGACTGAAATTTACAATGAACTGTGGCTGTGGCTGCTGCTGCAGAACCGTCTGCTCTGACTACGTCACTGACCCCTGTGGTTTCTTCCCGGGACAGTAAGTAAACAAACTCTGTTGCCATAGCAACGCTTCCTAATACCGTGCTAATTTTTCTACGCAACCTTAGCCAGTAGGCATTTGTGCCAAGTGGATTTGCCAATCACCTGCTCACACTGTTTGTGCACATTGACGAGACATTTTCGTGCGTTTCTTTAGCTCGTGGATAACTTGCGGAAGCAACTTCGCTCCACCACACGGCTGGAGCAACACAGGTCCATTCGCCGGCTATCGTTACGGTGGAGGTTACGGATGCTGCTAGTCACGTCTCCAAATGTGTCTTCGATGACCTGAGATTTTGAAACATTGTTATAATCACTGTTTACGTTTATGTGCTGACCTCAAAGTTGCATTTGACGCCAAAATACACACGCTCGATAAATTTCTTGTCTCTCTATTGGTTGAGTTCAAGGGCAAGTTTGTGTGTGACAGCTTGTCAAGGTGCTCTAGTGGTAGGTCACTTCAAAAATTTGAATTTTCGACAAAATTATCAGCGCGTGGACCTACAAGTTACACGTCTGTCATTCAAAATAGTTTCAAATTTTAAGATGTGGTCTCTATAGTACTGTTACTGAATTGTTAAAGTAAATTTTCGGTACGTTTAAAAAAATTTTAATTGGTTGGCGATACTGCACACTGCAGAACCTTCAAATGAATTTAACGAGATTCACGGAATTATGCTGTTGGTCATGAGTCTCTATTGGTCAGATTGATATGAAGTAGTTGATTGGCGGATGCACATTAAACAGTGGTTTTCAGTTTCTTGCGGAGCCTCAATGATCTGAATTTCAAGCGTTTTAACTGTGATTTCGTGTTCCACAAGAAGTGGATGTGTGTACGTTAAGGGGGAATTTTCGTCGCTGTAAAAAAAATCTCAAATGAAATTTGGCGCGTAAATTCGTTTTCGTATGTTAATTGGGACAGTTATAGCCATCATTCTCAACATTATTTATGTCAGACTTACACAATGGTAGGGTTTTACGTTAAGCCCTTTAAAAGATATGATTAGTTTTAACGATGGGGTTACTTACAAAATGCACTTAATTTAAACAAGTCCTGCCTGCTGGTTTTGCCTTCTAACCAGTCCAACTTTGTTCAGCTTAATGATTGGAGTTGGAGGCTACCATCCTCATGCCTTATTCCAATCGGATCGTTGTAACAAAATCAGACTTAGCAATTAAGCGCAGCGAATCAAAGTTAGGCCAAATGCTCCCCAGCACATTCATGGCTTGGATGAAGACCTAGGGAAGACAGAGAACGAGGTAGCAAGAACTCGTAATTG